GTACATGACAACCCAGGCTGAGGGTGAAATGTGGTAGGTACGCAGGAGAAACCTTATGAAGCACCTTGAAGCTAATGGACAACTTTTCAGTTTCCAATAACAACTAAAAAGTCTTATCTTGTTAGTATTATGTTGAAGAAGTAATGAATCACATATATTGGTTTTTTATGCATGTTACTTTCCTCTTAACCCCCCCCTTGTGTTTTTTATCCCTCCTTCCCTGCCAAGTTCACTGCAATATTTTCCACTGAGATACAAACAGAAAACATAAAAGTCACAACTGCTTGAAAGTGTCTGAAATAAATATAAAAGCTGTGTTTCAAATCATGAGAGTGATGTTTTCATACCAGGAAAAGAAGTACTGCATGTCCTGGTTTGTAGCATGAAGTCATGTGCAAATATCTGAGGATGCAAAGTCTGCAGGAGACATGTAGCAAACCCTGAAAGAAAAAGGAGCCAAACTTGGTGCAGTTTAGTTCTTATTGCCTGTAAAAAAAATCTCTATCATGTGTTAGCTTCTGATTGATGCCTGTGCTCTACTTGAAAGAATGCTAGCTCACAAAAGCATGATGAGAGTTTAATGCTCTGGACAATCAATTACTAGTGTTTAAGTGTAGACCCTGTTTTTTTGCCTTCAATTATTTCTAATAGCAGGAAAAACAGTAATAGAATCCATTTTAATATTAGGTATAGCAGTGGAAATTATTCTGCTCTTTTGGGATAAATACCTTTGGGATCCTTTTTTCGATAATGACCTTGAATTTAGACCAGCATTTTGAAACTCAAAATCCAAGTTTATCTGCTTAACTAATCAAAACTTGGATCTGTACCATTGAGTTTAGACAAATCTTAAGGTCACTGTAAACTAATTGAACTCTATCTTAAAACGAAAAAAAAAAAAAACAAACCAACACAGGTGATCCCTTTATTTGAATAAAGTGAATTTAAGAAGTGATGATTAGTTCTTAATTTTTTTTTTCTGTCTCATATTCGACAGCTACTCTTCAATTATTTCTTTCAGACATTAAAGAAAACATTTATTCAGAAACCAGAATACAGGGAAAAAAGGGTAAAAAAGCTCTGGGATCACAGCTGATATTTCCAAGTTAGACAATATAACTGGGTTCATTAGATATGAAGTATGTAGAATAGATATGGTACGGGTCTCTTGAAGGAAAAAGGCTCCCTGCTGATTTCTTGCACTTTCGGGCTATGCAAAGTGAAAAAAAAAAATTACCACTGACTAAGAACATGCATATTGATAGCTCTTGTGGCATAGACAGTGCATAATAACTTGATTGTCATAGTAATTTTATTGCTTAAACTTTCAAATGTCCATAATATGTCAAATATTTTTGCTTACATGCAATTTTTATGTTTCTTTGAACAATACATTGCATGTTTTCCTCTAGGTTCTCTTTTGAAAGGTATGAAGGCCCCTTCTCCTTGCTAAATCAGAAATGTTTACAAAGCTATGAATTTAATGACAAAAGTCTCACAAAAGATTTTAGTTGTTCGGCTTAGAAGAAAGTATATTAGATTAATTTTTCTGTCACTTTTGACCTATTCTGATTGTTACCCAAATAATAAACAAAATACACAATATGTATTTGTGTATAAAAATGATTTTGGGTAGCGGCTTCAAACAAAGTCAATATTCCCTAACTTTTTTTTAAAGGAAAATAATGACATTATTGTAATCTATTCAATGGGAAAAAAAAAGTAAATTTGAAGTTATTTTAATAAAAAAAATCTAGTTCCCTAAATTTTTGTTAGTATAATATTGTGAATATTTCCTTTGTTGAGCTACTAATGGTTGGTATTTTACATAGTAATGAATAATCTAGTTTCTATTCCTCATTCCACAGCAAAATTGCTTTCATAAAGAGGTCTTATAGTATGGATGAAGAGAACACGTAAAAGAACATTTAAAACCATGCTGGATGTGGTTCTGGGCAACCTGATCTAGTTGAAGATGTTCCTGCTCATCGCAGGGGGGGTTGAACTAGATGACCTTTGAAGGTCCCTTCTAACCCAAATTATTCTATGATTCTATGATATAAATACAACAAGGATATAATCTGAATGCTCTGTCTGAATGGGATAACACAATTTCAGATAATAGGTTTGCCTTCATCTCACTTAACTTCATCCATACAGAAATTAGCTATCTATTCAGAGGTAATTGTCTAGCTTCTATCTGTTGTCATTGTACCCATAGAGGAAGCAGAAGGAACCTGCAGGCAGTTATTTATTTATTTATTTATTTATTTATTTATTTATTTATTTATAAAAGCACTGCTTGAAAATTATTAGTTAAACTGAAAAAGAGAGATTAGAGCAATTTCTGAGGTATTCAAAGAAAAGGGCATTTGGTTGTGCTGAAGGAGAATGTAATGGTCTCAAGAGAAACTGCTGTTGATGTTTCTTGTGGACTGTTTTTCAGATTCACCTTATTTATTATTTTAACTAATGTCTGTGAAAAAATTTAGAGGTTGCTAAAAATGGGAAGATGACAAAAAATAGGTGTTGTAATACATAGGAAGATAAAAATCTCTCAGAACTAACTGACCTTGAGACCTTTTGTGTAATAGAAATGGTCTGACTATAAGTGTACAATGGAAATACACATTGTAAGTCTACCTGTAGCAAGAGGTTTTTTGTGACAACCAGAGGCACACCAGCAAGAATTAGCAAAGGAAAGGAAGATTCTGGGATTACAAGACTATTTTAGAATGACGGAATGACCATGAATGTATGATGAATCCATGAAAAAGTTAAATGTATTCTTTTTCTGGATCAGTAGAAACACTTCCAAATATTGCAGAGAAGTATATTGACATTGGAAACTACCATATGAAGCTCCATCTGGAATTATGTTCAGTTCTATAGTTGAACATAACAAAGGTTAGATCCACACTCAAAAGAAACTAATACTGATGCCCAAAGTTGCTTAGAAGACAAATAATTTCTCATGGGGCCTAGATAAATTCAATCTAGATAATAGCAGAAATATTTTAACCACCAGAGACATGAAGTTCTCAAGTAGACTTCCCATAGGATCAATAAGAATAAAAATGTGAAATAATTTCATAATGGAATTTATTACATTTTTAATGAGATTATATGACATGGTCACCTGAACAGGAAGATGCTTCAAGACTTTAGAGATCTCTTGCACTTCTGTGTATTGTCCCTAGATGCTTGTAGGGTGGGTTATGCTTCATTAGAAGAAGTGGAAATATTCTAAATTTTGTAGACTACTCCCATGCAGGAAAGATACGCTAGAGACTTCGGGGTTTTTTTGACAAACACACTATGGTCAGCATGGTTAAATATAGGTGTTTTTCAGATAGGTTACCTGCGACTTTTGTGGAAAGAGGTACTCTAAGGAAAAAAGTAATTGGGTAGAAACATTTTGGTTTAGAAAATAACAAAAATACCCAGAGGTGTGGGTTACATAGTGGAATGGATTAAGTTGAATTTCTCCTCTTATACTCAATTCCTTTTTTTTTTTTTTAACATGTTCAGTATAATAGATTTTGAGCTAAATTTTGAACCCAGAGTTTGAAAGGGAAGCTATTTTCCTCCACCTACAATCTCCTATTGGAATGTATGGCAGGAAGGTGAAGGAAACTTAATCTTGCTGCTGGAAGATTAGGAATTTATTCTGCTAAAAATGTTTGATTTTTCATCCAATTTTATAGATGTTATTTAAAATACAGATAAAAAATAATTGTTTGCAATGAAGCTTAAGAAAACCAAGCCTTTACTCTCACGTAAATTAACTGTTGCAAGTTTTCTGCATGTGAAAGGGAGAAAGAGAAAATCAGTATTTCTTGCAAATGTTTTAATCTATGAGAGTTCCAACTAGCCAGAAGTTCCAAAAAGCAATTGCATAAATAAACAATAGGCTTTTAAAATAAGGCATAAGTAATTCAACTGAGCTATGGGAAATCCAATCCAAGTTTTGTGCTAATGAGGAACTATCATAAATATTCACATTTTCTTAGTATTAGCCTTAAAATTTGCTACCTACAGGTGTGGAGACGGATGAAGAATCTTACACTTAAACCTTCACTGCAGAGCAATCAAGAAGGAAAGAAAGAAACTTAGCTCACCCGGGTACATTCTTAGTGAGCAGCCACTAGCAACAATTGTTGCAGGAACCTCATTGATCTTGGGCAGACAGACTGAAAAGTCAGAAATAGACCAATATAAAAAGTAGAGCAGTAGAAATATTCAGTGAATGGCTATGCTGGCAGGATATGCTGTTACTGTGATAGGAGCTCTGAGGGTGCCTATTTATTATTTGTATACGATATCATGAGGACAGAGTTCATAGAAATTAAATTTAGCAAGACCAGAAAAGTATTCTATTTCTGCATCTGTACTGCTGAGGCCAGCAGCTCAAATAATATTTTTTCCTTGACCCTGTACATTCTGCAAAAGGTTTATGAATGGGAATTATAAAGACTCCCTGTTTTGCACGAACATTCACTCCCTTTGTTTGTACACACAAAAAATGGTGATGGACTATCATTATCCAAATTGATAGCAGCTGTGCTTAGTAAAAAACTGTTTCCATCAAATCTGTTGACAAGTCAGTGGTAATAAAAAAATAAAATGTCATATGGTACACTGAAACTCCTGAATTACTTGTCACAGCCCATTTAAATGTGGACTGCATTCAATCCAAGGAATTTTCTGTAAAATTAATACATTTGCTAGGCCCTTTAGTACAGATTCTACTATCCTCAGGGGAGATATTTTGAAGATAACGTTAAAAATCTAAATATTTAACTTCCTTTTACATTTGCATATTTTAATTAGAAACTTCCTTTTACCCTTTTTCTTCTTCTTTTTTTTTTTTTTCTGGTATATTTCAAGGTTTCTACCATTTTATTGTTTGAAACTAATGTACTGCCATATTAACTCACCCATGAACTCTTTTAGTAGTACCAAGTGACTGGAAATTTATTTATATTGTATTTTGCAGGAGGAAACAAACCAGCTCTTGCAGTCAAAACTGACCGGAACTTGTGTTGGGTCAGGTCCTAGCTAATAAGTTTTTCTGAGTAGCTGGGTGCGTTAAGTGCTGCTAGCTTGTGTGTGGTGCCAGGCTAATCACAATCATGGCTTCAGTAGTTGCTATCAGCTCCCTGTCAGAGGCCACCTGCAAAATATCACATCCTAAAAAAAGCACCTAGCACTGCTTGTAAGTATTTGCAATGAGGAGTTGTTTACTAAAGCTTAATATGAATATTTGATCTTATATTTTGAAGTTTGCAGTCGCAGTCACAATCTATTAAATTTCATACCTACCTTTCTTTATGGTCACAAACTTAGGTTTCTGGTGAGATGCAGTCATGGCCAGAAGCAAAAAGCAAATGGGGGAGAGGTTTTTTAGAAGACATGTTGCAGTCTTACAGAAAGTGTAATACTACTTTGCAGTTCAAAAAGTGTGCAATTTCTGAAGAAATCAGTGCCTATGATGTAGGGAAAAGCCCTCCCTGTTTGGATGTCATATGATGGTATGTCAAATTTGATTGCATGGTGCTGACAGACGGCAAGTGTAATTGAGACCTTTTTCTTAATGATGTTATGGACATAGGCAGTGGATGTATGTCCTTGCTTGAGGCAGTTTACAGTCCCAGTTGAACAGACAAGGAGACCTCAGGGAGTTGAAATAACTCACTGTTCAGGGCCTGAGCCAGATTTAATGCAATTTTTCTAAACCTCAGTGCAGTGACTTGTCTAGTACATCACTTTACCTTATGTTCTCAACAGAAAGCAAAATAAACGTACAGAATCAAGTGCTGTAGATAAGAGAGATGCTAAAACGAGGAGATCAGAGACAGGCAAAAGCCACTAGATACCTAAGTTCAAAACAGGGAGCACTGTGGAAATACAGAAGGTCACAAGCAACAACAGAAAGAAAAAGGAAACTTATTGTAAGACAGCAAATAGCGTGTGTGTTTCCTGTTCTGAGAACAAAATACCTGTCTGCTGGCTGTGCTCTCAGAGGTTTAAAACCTCAAGTAACAGAAGGCACCATAAAGCCAATTTCACTGGTCACATCATGACAGACTGGCCAAATCCTCTCTTCACAGGCTTGGAAACTGACTCCCTGCTCCTGGAGCAAAATCAGGGGCTAAGATCACTCATTACCTGATTTCTATGGCAATAAAAGGCACTTCAGCCTCTCATCTGCTCCTCCTGCTTCTCCCTTTTTTCTGGGAAACTGAATTTTCTGGCTGTGGATTTACACTCCAGTTGAGGCTGACATTACTTCTGATGTGTGCTGGTTTTGGATGGGATAGAGTTAATTTCTTGCAGAGTAGCTAGTATGGAGCCATGGAAAATTAAGAGGCTCCTTTAGAAACAGGGATATGAAAAATTCAGGAGAACGGAGTTTTCTTTCATTAAGTATTTGAAAACAGAAAGGAGGTGGTTTTGAAGGAAGCGGGTTGAAGGCAGAGGTTACCTACTTTTGTCATGAGAATGCAAAATGTAAAGATATATGGAGAAAGTGCAATTGTCAGTCACTTTCACATGGCAGATTTTATATGCAGTAATAAGTGAGACAAACAGGCACTGAACAGGGCTTTATGGAAAGCAGTTTTGGCTCAGTTGTACCTCTGCCTCTCAGGGTGTCTCCCATTAGTCACTCAGCTGATGAATTTGCTCAGCAGTGGTGGCAGTTTCTAGAAAAGAAGAAACAGCTCTCCAAAGATTCAGCAGTTTGGTTTAAATACATTTCCTCTCCCATGCCTGCTCCACACTGGGCTCCTGTCTCTCTCTCTGCAGCTGTTGCCTGTTTCACGAATGCCCTCTCCTTCATGTTAATCATCCCCATTCATCCTTGGAGACAGCTGGAGCCAAACAGCACCACATTTTCATAGCTATGTCATGGAAAGATATTGAACTTTCAGAACCTGCAGAATTTAATCTAAATCTAGAAGCCACCAAGATTTTTGTTCAGGATTCAGAAGTATTCAGCAATCTCTTGGGATTCAGAAGTTTTGAGTTCAAGTCTGATGTCTCCCTGGAGGTTACGGTCTGGTGTGGCTGGCATGGTTACCTGGTAGGTGTGGCCTCATCTACATGAACTGGTTCTGCATGAGCTAACCACAGACTGCTAGTGCTAAAAATGGTACAGAAAAGCTCAGGCTGTCTGTGCTAGAGCCTGCTTGCATCTGCAATCTGCATAACTTCATTGCATGGTGTTTTTTCTCAATAAGTTGACCTGGTCATGAATATTTTCTGGCTTGAGTTGGCAGCAGTTTGAGAAGCTCTGCACTGCTTTCTGTGATTTGTTATAAGCACTGTTTTCCCCTATTAAAAGTAGAGGTAATGTTACTTGCAAAACGTGCTGAGATTTGTGCTGAGATGTAGATTCAAGGTAATATCGCAATTCCTTTAATGGCTTCCTTTCAAACTCTGAAACAGGGCCATGTGAATTCTTTCTTCAGCTGAATTGTGAGATTTAAGTCTATTTATGTGACTGACAAACACTAATCCCTCACATTACAATATGATTTTTCCATTTGACCATTACATGACACTTGATGAAGTAAGCTATTATATAATTGTTGTAGTGAAAGGCAGCGTATTTGCCCACTTTTAGACATTTCTGAAATGTTAATATATGGAGCTATTGCTGCAGCTGTCTCAGATGTGCCTGTCCTGTGTATGGCATGTACTGGATGCTCTAATTAAGCCCATTTTCATTTACTCAGTGGAAAAAAAATAATAATCAAAATTGGTTTTTGCACCAGGTTGGCTTTTTAATTGGGATGGGGAAAATGAGGAACAGAGGAAGAACAAGTGAGTTACCTTCGGCAGGAGACTAAGCATTTTTTTTGTTTGGAAAATCATTGATATCAGTCATAGTATTAAAACTAGCCCTTAATGCTATTCACTAGGTTTTTGTCACAAGCTACTAGCGGGATCTGCAGATGTCGTTGGAGTTGCACAGCTGAGGTATGATGAAGTGTTTTCTTCAAAGATAGTGGCTTCCACTGGGATCTGGATAGCTAATGGGTTTGAAGAGTTTTCCCTAGAGGTTGTCAGCTGCAACTGAACACATTAAAATGAGAGAACAGTTCAGTGGCTTATGTAAAATGAGATGGTGGCATAAATCCAACAGTTCAGTACACAGGTATCTCCATCTACATGCTAATACTGGAGATTTAGGTTTTTTGTGCCAGGAAAACAATTCACAATGCAGAGAGACCACCTACTATCAAGGATTGCCAGACTCCAGTTTTCTAATTCTGTCTGCAGAGTGGACCTCATTTTTCTAGGATGTGCTCTAGTTGTATATTTTTATATGTTATTAAAGAAGAGATGGGGAACTATGCATCTCTCACAGAAATTGATTCCCACACTGGGACACAGAGACTTGATGTTGGTCCAGGGTACCCCAAATTCTCCCATACCAGGTAAAACAGTTTCAAGAGATGGGTCTGAGAGACTACTCTGCATCCTGGCCATTATGGTATACAACATGAATACAGAAGCCCCTGAGAACTAGAGTCACAAGCACCATCATAGGTGCTTTCAATCCCAAGTGCAATCTTATTGAAAAGGTCAAACTCCAATATCTTAAGAGGGAAAATCAGGAGGCTTTTATGGGTTGCAATGACAAATATATATTATTACAGCTCTGTCAAGAATTCTATAGGAAGGATATAATTGAAAATATATGCTTCACAATATACCTAAAGTTCTTCGTTAAATTTCTAGGGTTTTCCATAAGGGCTTGGCTGGAGTCTGGAAATGTTAAATCGCCTTACTTGTGAAATGCCTCCTTCATTGCACAGATGCTTGGGGAAGCTTCCTCTCATGCAGATATATGGACCTCACTTTTTTTACTGAGTTAAAAAATAAGTGTCATTATAGGCATGATAACCAAGTAAAGTTTTGTAAGAAAGATAATACTGTTTATTAGCAGGAACCTTCAAGATAAGTACAGGTCCAGGAGCCGCTGTTCTGAATTTAACTTTCTGTTAAATAAAATGTTCAGTAGATATTATGCCTCCTTTTCTGGCTCCACAGGTACCAACTGTTTTTTCTCTCAATTGTTTTAACCAATTAATAAAATCAAGTTGAATTCAAAGCAGTTGTTCTCTACCTGTATTTACCTGGAAAGGTGGTTCAAAACTGGGAAAGCTAAACATGCTTCAAAACTTGACTTTTTTTTCCCCTCAAACTTCTGCAGTTAGTCGATAAATTTAAAATGCAAACAAAAACCCCTGTCCGGGGTGTAGCAGTAGCAATCCTTTTTTCTCCTTGGTAGCTGGTGCAGTGCTGTGTTTTGACTTTCAGTGTGGGAACAGAGCTGATAACACTGATGTTTACTCTGACCAAGAACGTTGTGAGTCTCATGCTCTTCCAGGGAGGAGGGGAAGCTGAGAGGAAGCAGAGACAGGACACCTGACTCAAACTAGCCAAAGAGGTATTCCATACCACAGCACATCATGCCTGGGGAGGTAACTGGAAGGGCATTCTCTGCTCGGTCAGGCTCATTTCGGAGGGTGGTATCGTATTCTCTTCCCTTGTTATTTTCCTTATCATTATTATTATTGGTGGCAGCAGCAGTAGGTTTGTGTTATACCTTAGTTACTGGACTGTTCTTATCTCAACCAGTGGGAGTTACATTCTTTTGATTCTCCTCCCCATACCTCCGGGAGCAGGGGGTGGGAGTAGAAACTGTGCAGCTGACTGGGTTTAAATCACAACAATCCCCTCCTTGCAAACCATACCTAACTTTTTCCCCTTTTTTTCCCAATTTTATTTTTTTCACATGTACCACTTTAAAAAGAAGAATGAAAATGCATTTTACTGCCCTCAGAGTAAGGTCAAAAGCAGCCTCACACTTACTCCATTGACAGAGTCATCTTTCTGACTCTGACCCTATAGAAGCAAACCATTTCTGATATGTATTGCGTTTACAGGGATTTTGGAGAAGGGTTGAGACATATTGTGTAACTGCCATTTCATTGAAACATGCAACTGTCATGTTATGCAGCAAATAATGAAGCGCATTACAGGCATGGCCTTGAGATATGTTTTAATTTTTTTTCCTTGTTTTCTAAGGGAATGTCTTCAAGCTGATTGATAGTGAAGCAAAAGGATTTAGCAAGTTTGGAACTTGCTGGAACTTAATTTTCTATGATCTCAACAGAGACTCAGTCCCTTTCAGGATATGGCTCTAATTTTGAGGGCGATAAATTACTCCTTTAAAGCACAGCTAGTATTCTGCAGAGAAGTGAGAGCTGTATTTTTGTTAAGTGCTTAAAATAAACCAAAACAATAACATTTTAATGTTTGCATTGACGTGAAGGTAAAAATAAATTTTCAATTAATTGAAGCTGTGGGAAGACAAACAGTGAAAAAGGAAGAGTCACGACATACCTTGCTTCATTGAATAAATACTTTACAGTAAAAAGAATCAAAGAAATTGGGAAAATCCCAATCTCAGTTTTGACTTGCATTTAATCACAAAGGTGGTGAACAGGAAAAACCATTGATTCAGGCTGGCAGACAGTTTAAATGAGTGTCTTAATTGTATAATAGAGCATATAAAGACTTTTTATTCAGCCCTTACTGGCCTTGTGAAAGCCATGTAAAGCCTATGGCTAATCTGGCCTGAAAAAGCAAAACATTTAGGGAATATTAAAATAAATCATATTGACATTTTCAGAAAAGCAGTGTCTGTTTATAGCTGAGTTGGGACTATTTGCTAAATTAATGTTTAGTTTCATCCTAGTCCAAACCTGCTTTTTTTTCTTTTGTGATTAAGCCATCCAAACTACTGCCCATTCTTTCAAGCTTAAATCTATCCAGTTCTATTGATTACTTGCCCCATTCACATAACCTTACTCACCAATAATCCAAATCAAGGATTTTGTGCTCTAATTCTAGGTAATGTGCATGTGAAAGGTGACATCTTCCCCAGAAGACATTATGATTTTATCTGGGAGTTGAGGAATAGTTGATAGAACAGACAGATAAGGGAGAAGAAGGAAACAAAATGTGATTAATATTAGTGTAATAAACAGTGATTAAAGCACAGGAAGTTTTTTTCACATGTCAGAACATATCCCAGCAGAGAAGATATTTAAAGACCTCAGCACAACTACCCTATAGATGTCCCATAGTTCTGCTCAAAGACAGGGCTAGGACTAAAACGTCCACGTTCTCTGGGTCTGACTAAGCCAGGTTTGTCATCTCTCCCACTGCAGGGATGAAGAGAGAAGAGACCGCTTTCCAGGGCTATGAGTCCCACGGGCTGTGGGACAGCTGTGGGTGCTACAGGCATTGGGGCTGCCCAGGGTGCTCCCAGGCAGTTCACAGGGCTGCTGAGAGGATGGGGAGCTCCATGCATTTCTCCACGGTCTTTAACAGAATCGAAAATAAACTCTTATGCACTTTTTATTGCAGAATCATCAGTGTTAGATGGGACCTCTGGAGACTGTCTAGTCCAACCCCCCTGCCAAGGCAGGGTCACCTAAAGCAGGTTACACAGGAACATGTCCAGGCAGGTTTTGAATGTCTCTATACAGGGGGACTCCACAACCTCCCTGGACAACCTATCCAGTACTTTGCCAGCTTCAGGGTAAATAATTTCTTTCTTATGGCACCACACAGGTGTAGGATGTGATTATAAAATCACAATGTAAATGCACATTCCCAGTGCATTTTTGCACTGGGATTTTTTTTTTTTTTTTGTATCTATAATTGTGCAAAATTATATTTCCAAACATAAAGGTTTTGTTTTTAAATTACATCGATAGGAAAGAGGCTTATTTCCAGCTTCATGAAGGGTGACGAACAGTATAGGAAATAAAAAACTTGGGTAAAATACTATGATTCTAGTGTGCTTGCTGCTGAACTATTGTTTTGTGATTTTGGCCACTGCAGCATAAAAACTTTGTAATACTTCAAAACAGGGATAAGGAAACCAATTCTATTATTACTGAGAAATGAACTATGATATGAATGTAGGCTTAAAAAAAACCATAAATCTACAGTAGCCTAGAATTAGGGAGAGTGAGGGGGAAGTTTAAAATCTAAATGGTACAGAGTATGTCAAGCCAAGTTATTACTTCCAGCCATGTACAGATAATAAAGGAAATAAGGCATTTGGAGGAGATGTGAGGAAACCCTCTTCTATTCAAAAGAGCATAAATGTGTGAAGTGGCTTACCAGGCAACACTGTTGAACTTAAACACTAGGGCTATTCAAGACACTATAAGGTAGTGTCTCAGAGGGATCATAGTATTGAAAATGTAATGAGGCGTAACTTATCCCCGGAGATCCCTGATCTTATATTATATATGAAAGCTATTCTTGCAAAACAGTAGCTGAGCCTGCATGCAGTCTTGGAGGAGCATGCAAAGGCAAATCCACACTCCATTTTCTTGTTTTTCTGTGGGTTTATTGTGTGATTTTTTGATTGGTTGGTTTTTATTTTTTTTTTTGTTTTTTTTTTGTTTGTTTTACCACTACCTATTTGTATCCTGAGACTGCCAGTGTTGCAGGGAAACTGCATGTGTATTTTGTCTTTGGTGCAGCTTCATGTACAGTTTTGGCAGCAGGTCCAACAGGTTAAGAATAGACAAAATCTTAAAAGGGAAGATTCAGGCAATTCACACCTACATCTTTCTGAACATGCTGCTGCTAGGGAAGGAGGCAGGGTTTTGTGCAAAGAAAAATTCTGATCTGTTGAAATGTAAAGAAGAGTCAGAGATGTGATGTTCTTATTAATGTGGCCTCCTGTGATTTCAATGCTGATTTTCTTTATGCTCAAACATTGTGAAAAAGGTGTAGCCTGTTTAGCTTGCTTTCTTTTTTTTTTCTTTGTTTCATTTTCTTCAAGTTCATTGGTTTTTTTAGCCTCTTGGATCTGGAGTTGGTTCAGCTTGTGTAGGAAGGGACAACTTTCTGTACTTTGAAGAAGCTTAGGTTGGAAGCCTGGGGTCAGATGAGGCTGAGAAAGAAGTGGAAGGGCAGAGAAAGGTTGTAAGGAGGGGTCTGGGAGAACAACATAATTATATCCAGATCCTGGAAAA